CTTTGTTTTATTTATAACGTTTATTTCTACAGGACTCATGCTTAAAGGTTCTATGATTGTTCTGGTGGGTTCTATCCTGTTATTCCTTTATGAACACCATTCTAAAGGATCAATGCTTCGCTACTGGTACTCGCGGAGAGGAAGCGTGAAAGGGGGTCGCACTTTGACGTTTGTTTTCACAGCATATAACCATCAGGTACATTTGAAATAAGTAGTATTCACTGCTTGTTTTGTCTTGAACACAAAGATGTTTAGAGGGTTGTTTCCTTTGGTGCATTGCTGGCCCCCAAAATCCCCCTGCCCGTAACAAAAAACTTAAAAACTTGGACTTCAATTTTCAACTTCTGTATCAATACAGATCCTGTTCATGTGTTATTACCTTGTTTCACCCTGGCTTGAGAAATCTAGTGGCAGCATGACGTAAACCAGTTGCCCTTAAAGAGTTTCGCAAAGGAGGTTGAGTACAAATCACCCTGGTGTGCAGGCACTTACACTTATTATTAGCCAATGTGAATACAGTTATACTACACTGTATTTATCAAGGGCAGGGTCAGGTAACCTTCAACCTATAGTGAGGGATGGGTCAATCAGTTTTATGCATGGGGAAAGAGATAGGGATTTCTGCAATAACCAGCCAGCACTTTGCAGAATAATCACTAAAGAGAGAAATGTAAAGCTGATATGACGAATGATCATTACTTGTCACAAGGTTCCTTTGAAAGGAACAGAAAAAGATGTGGCAAGTGGAGCATTAAGGCAAGCGAGGCCACTAGAGGACATCAAGGCATGATAGCACTGATGGTTAGCAGATCAGACTTCAGAGCGGAAGGCCAGTTGTTTGAGTCCCGGTCTTCACCTTTGCATTCTGTCCTTATAGACAAGACACTTACCCCACATTGTCTCCTTCCATCCAAGTGTATAAATTTACTGGGGAAACTCAACTATTGAGTGGACTGACACCCTACCCAGTTTGGGTTTCAACGCTACAAGGTTCTTAGTTCGATTTGACCCTTTTTTCTCCTCTCTGCTTTTCTTTTCGTGGTGGAAGGGCTGTGTCAGAGGTAAATCACCCTCATTGGGAGGCTCCTGTCCCTAAATCAATTTAATCATCAGGGCCGGGTCGTTCGATAGAGGGTTAGCGCTACCCCACTGTTTAGCGTTAGCGGGAGCAGGCTTAACCCTGGGCTAGCACTAACCCTGGTATACCAGGCACTCTCAATGGCATAATCATTCAAGAGCAAAATGCTGAATCAACGGTCTCTTTTTTCGGTTTTCTTTTGATCTGTTTGACCGGTTAGCTCAGTTGGTAAAGTACCGGACTGCCGCCCGGGAGATCGTGTTCAAACCCCAGCCGGACCCATACTCCGGATCTGTAAATAACTGAGGAGAATGT